TGGGGCTGACCTGCTGGAGAGCAGCTCTGCGGAGAGGGGCTGGGAGTGCTGGGGGATGACAGGGTGACCATGAGCCAGCAGCGTGCCCTGGGTACCAAGAAGGCCAATGGGATCCTGGGGTGCATTAGGAGGAGTGTGGCCAGCAGGGCGAGGGAGGTTGTCATCCCCCACTACCAGTGAGAGAGCCCTGGCCCAGGCTGCCCAGGGAGGCTGTGGAGTCTCCTTCTCTGGAGATATTCCAGCCCCGCCTGGCCGCGGTGCTGTGCAGCCTGCTCTGGGTGACCCTGCTTGGGCAGGGGGTTGGGCTGGGTGACCCACAGAGGTCCCTGCCAACCCCGACCACTCTGTGATTCTGGGTTTTGGAGGAGTTAGCAACACCTTGCTCAGATGCATCCAAGATATGCTTTTCCCCTGATTTTCTTTCTGAAAGCTCATAAACCTGAAAAGAGACTGAATGTTTTTCATAGTGAGAATAGTGGACCAAGTGGCCTTGTCTGTTGCTGGTGTGAGTTTCCACTCAAACCAGTGGACGCTGGTGTGCAGTGTTCTCTGAACTGATGCTGGGCTACGTGCTGTTTGCCGTGGGCTTAGCGTCGCTGCGTACGACTTCAATCAGGTCTGTGTATTTGCAGGACTGAGGCCACGGTGCTGGAGGTCTCCGCAGGGCTCAGCGTGGTGGGAGCGAAGAGGCCGTCGCGCCGCGCCGAGCAGGCGGGCAGGGAGCAGTGCACTCCTCATCCCCGGGTGACCCGCGGCCCCGCTTTTTGTGGAGCCTTGTCTTCTGTCACAAAATAAACCGCACGTTCGCACGTTACGTTGCGGTTACGCCCGGGGAGACCTGGAACCGTACCGCTGAGCGTCGGTTGGTTGTGGCCTGCACTGCACCGCCGTTCTTCATGGAAGAGGCGAAAGCTTTCACCTCGGCCTCTGTGGAGCAGGAATAATGACACCCTGCGGTAAGGCTGGGACCCGAGTGCCGCTGGTAGCTCAGGAAGAGGAGATAAAGGGTGTAAATCCACCCCCCCGTGTTTTGAGAGCAAGTGTTGTTTGCTTTCCTCCCTAACTTTCCTCCTCCTGCGTGTTGGCGTACATGCAGCAACTGTGTTTTTCTAATTAATGCTGAACATCTTTTATATTTTTTTATCGAATTGATATAGATATGGAAAATCAGGGTAGTTTACCATGAAAAAGCGAGAAGTGTTTTGTGGAATTTTTCCTGGCAGGGTGACTGTTCTGGCGCAGTGACGGTTCTAATGACAGCAGGTACATTTTCTCCGAGGCTCTTCCCAGGAGGGGATGCCAGGGGATAGTTAATTGGACATACTGGAACCACTTAGAAACTTTTATATTATCTTATATTTATTGAAAAGATAATGACTGCCCTGAAGTGACTCAAAAACTGTAGAAAGGCGATGTGCAAAAGTACATTAAAGTGGGTCCTGTCCGCCTCCTGTGTGAGCTGATAGACGTTTGTCAGAGGTTTCCGTATAAATTGAAATGTACTCCTAGTTGTATACTAATTTGGGGTATTGATGCCGATGACAGCCCAGATTGCATGCAGAATAAAAGCTTATTCTTTATGTTCTGAACAGGAGCATTGCATTTCACCAAAAATGGAATTAAAAAAAAAATAGAAAAAAAGCTGAGCTCTGGAGTGGCTCAAGAGCGAGCTGGCGCCTTGGTCCCTGGCACGACCCGCTCTCCTGGGCACGAGGACCTGTGGTACAGGACAGGTCGAATTCCTGACTGTCACTGGGCTGCGTCGAAGCGTGCAGTCACCCCCTCGCTCCCAGCTGGGTTAGTTTTAGACTTGTCTCCTCCTTTCTGGTTGCTGTTACTGAATTCGGAGTTACTTGCCACCTGGCACATTTTTAATTCTCTTTTTGGCTGCTAAAACTATTAACACTATGAGAAGCACGATGATTTTTCTTGTGTCAATGAGACATGAAAGGCAAGAAGAAGAACGTGCTGCAGAAGATGGGGAGGCTGTGGAAGGGAGAGGAGATCCGGGTGGATCTGCTCCGACACGTTTGATACAATTATTTGCTCTGCTTTGTCTGCAGATCTGTGGGCAAATGCCATTTCAGGCAGTGGCTGCTTTGCTGGCATTAACCTAGCCTCTAGTGAGCATTTTTTCTGCATCTCCAAAAATGACATTTTCTTGGAAATGGCAAGGGTTGATTTGTGCAAGACTGCGGCTGGGACAGCGGACAGCTTTGCGAATCACAATTCAGGCTCATTAGGCAGCGGGTGCCCTTCAGTTACGCCCGTTATTTTGGTAGCCAGGCCCCGCAGCGCTTGCGCCTGACGGCAGGGTGAGTTACTGTCCGGCTTCTATGAGTGCAAGAAATCCAGCAGATTGCGAATCTTGTCTGTGAAATTTTCCTTGAAGGTCCATCACAATCGGAACGCGCTGGCTTCATGCCTCGGTCCGCTGAGAAATCCGACCCTCGGGGTGTGTGGGTAAACCCCAGTTCAGGCTCTGTTTCCAGAAGCACACAGCTCCGCTCATTCCTTTGTGCAAGTGTTGGATTCCTCAAACTGGTGTCCAGCAGCAATTTTTGTACCATTTTTATTTATGTCTAGGGTTTTTATTTGACTTACAGCTTTATCGGGATGAAAATATTTTAAATGTATGGTGCAGTTAAATGTAAGTGGTAGAGTGAAACTTTATAACTCCCTTCAGCTGGGGGGTTGCCGATCGTTTCCCTCCAGGAGGTGTTAATTGCTGGTGCGGTTTTCAGTTCAATGCGATCCTGTCTCGTATGTGCCTCCGTCCCAGTGTGGGCTCGTTTTTGTTCCCTATTTTCCTGTGTAATTGTACTGGATTTTTTTCATAAAAAGTCATTTTGTACCTAGGGCACTAAAGCTTAATGATATTTATAAGTTCTAGCTCTTTTTTTAAAATGCCAACCCAATATAAAAAGTTTAATTCTTTTTGTGATTTTTAGATGTTACTTAATAGAAAATCTGATTAAAAATACTGCACAGAAAGCTTGTACAGAAGCAGCAATGTGGTTTTGAATTTTTGTGTGTGTGATCATGCATAGACACACACATATATATATATCTACATATGTGAAGAGGTGTTTGTCTTCTCAGACTGTGGATTTTCTTACACGTTGATCATTAAGCATCTGCGTTTCTGCTAGTGTGTCCCTCTCCTTTGGTGACTGCTTTGTCTTTGCCCAAGCTACCAATTGAATTAGACTTTAGTGATGCATATATTATGATTGGGGCTACAAGGATGGTGAGGGGACTGGAGCATCTCCCCTACGAGGAGAGGTTGAGGGAACTGGGCTTGTTCAGCCTGAAGAAGAGAAGGCTGCGAGGGGACCTTATAAATGCCTACAAATATCTGAAGGGTGGGTGTCAGGAGGATGGGGCCAAGCTCTTTTCAGTGGTGCCCAGTGACAGGACAAGGGGCAATGGGCACAAACTGAAGCACAGGAAGTTCCGTCTGAACATGAGGAAGAACTTCTTCCCTCTGAGGGTGACGGAGCACTGGAACAGGCTGCCCAGGGAGGTTGTGGAGTCTCCTTCTCTGGAGATATTCAAGACCCACCTGGACAAGGTCCTCGGTGACCCTGCTTCAGCAGGGGGTTTGGACTAGATGACCCACAGAGGTCCCTTCCAACCCCTACTATTCTGTGATTCTGTGATTCTGTGAATGTGTATTCTGTAGCACTGTATGTGTAGTGTAAGGATATAGTGCTATGTGTAGTGTGTGTATATAGTGCGAAGCTGCAGGAATATAAAAAATACACACGGTATATCAAATGTGTTACTCTGTTCTGCAGTGTATATTCCATAAACTGCAGGCAGAAATGCCCTGTCACTCTGCACACATACGCAAATAATAGTGCACGGAGTAGGGAATCTGCCCGAGCCTCTTCCAAACCCTGCAGCTCTGAGACTGCGGATGGTACTACCAGGTGAAATAAAATGAGGTAATGGACTGACAGCGACGACCAGGAGTGTGTCACAGGGTGTGGAGAGACTTCTGCATAGATAGAGCTGAAAGCAGAGACCTTTGTAGCTGATAAAAAAGGTTGTGACAAAGGTATTTTCCTCTAGAGAGAAATTTAAAAGGAAAGAAATTGCGTGGAAGATCTGTGGGTAACGTCAGTGGGTGTCTTCACAAAATGTTGTGGAGCCCATGTAAATAGTTCTGCCAGGGCTTCACAGAGAAGTGCGGCTCTCGGCAGTTCTTAGAGACGCTACAGATTCTAGGAACACACGACTTTGCTGTGGGAGAACCGGCTCGTGTTCCAGCCAGCACCCTGTCGCAGTTACAGCGGCTGCTGCAGTGACCTGCGGGTCTGGGCAGCTGCTCACAGGGCCGGGAACTGCGCAGGCAATTGGGAGAAACTGGTGACAGGGAGTTGGGTTCCCCCTGCTTCTCTGATGCCATCTCTGTGTCGTCTTCCTCCTCCTCCGGGTTTGTGTGTTTTAATACACGGAAAGGATCCTGTTAGAAATGAATTCAACTGATCTGTTGTCATTATTTTGGTAATTTTTTTTTGGTACCTTTGAAAATACCTTTGTCTTGGGATGTTGGTTTCCAGTTTTGTTCCCACCTTGTCTGACTGTGCCCTTATTTCCCTGCTCAGCTGGATCTCCAAGGGGAGTGGGCTCTGCGGGGCATGAACCACTTCTGTCTGTGCCTTGCTTAGCGTATGGCAAATACTGGGCTGTGGCTCCTCGCTTAGGTTTCAGTCGTTATGTGAGTAAAAAGATGGATGAGCAAGTCTACAAACGTGAAGGAATTACTTCTTACTAATTTCTGTGTATCAGCTGGTGGCTAATGCTGTCATTCTCATTTCTGCAAGCGCTGTTTAATGGGCAAACGTGCCAACTTTCTCCGTTTTTCTCTTCCATGCTGTCATAGTGTAAGTGGCACGCAGAAGAGAGGAGAGGAAGAAAAACATGCAAAGTCAAACCAGTATTATTGTACTGAGAGCAGTTTTCCTCCTGCCTCACGACAGGAATACGTGTGTGTGATTTATGGCTATTTTGCATGGAGGAACACCATCTTCCTGTGCAGAACTGCAATTAAAGCAGAAGGAATCTCATCAGTCATCCAGCCATGTTTCCATGACATGTACAACTTGCAAGTCAAACAATGAAATCTTTATTTAAGCAAAATTGTCCTTTGGCACAGTGCGAATTGTGTAGGAGTAAGGAGTTAATTGCACAGTTGCTAATTCTAATGAGTTGCCAGATTAGGGCAGAAGCTGTCACCGTAGGACTGGTATCAGCATGATGTTACATTTTGGTGGGTGTTTGTTTGATTCGTAGCAAACAGGTTGGTATTCTGCACGTACAGGTGTGCAGCCCACTCCACTATGAGTTTGTCACAGTGAATCTGTATTAATACAAGTCTCCACAGTGGGAAAAACTTAAGAAAATTCAAATTACAAACAAGATTTATTGCTCACGGGCATTAAAAAAAATACATCACTGGAGCTGCTGTGCCAAGGACACCAGCATTCATCTATCACACGTACTTTGTAATTCAGGTTTTATGTCTTTCAAAAGTTTCTTCAAGCCTGGCTTAGTTGCACTTATTTGAGCCTAATGCAGGAGGGGGTGGCTGAATTTGATGCCTGCTGCTGTGCGGGCAGACAGACAAGAAGGTCCTGGCCCTGCTGGCCCTAGCTTCCATCAGTGTACATTAATCTGTTCTGCAGTTTGCTGCTGATGTCCGGGACAGATGATAGCTGTTCCTCCCTTACGCTGTGACTCTTGGGACTGGGCTGTATTTAACACCACTGCTGAATACGTTCCTTTTCCTTAGCCCTTCTCTCCTAATCCTCTGCTCCTTTGCTTGGTTTGATTTCTTTCCTTTACCAGGAAGAGGTTCCAATCGGCTTATGTATTTTTTGCTCGGAGGATCAAAACTGCGGCGGGCTCCAGGTACATGT